GGATTCTGTAATTTCCCCTCCAACTCATCTGATGAATTGACCATAGACTCAGAAAAGATACGAAGGCACCTGAGTCAGTTTCACTGTTGAACAAAGTACATTAATAATCATTGGTAGCCAGACAGTCCCTGAACCCCTCTGCATTTGTACCTGTGACAATGGACATGGCTCAGTCAATATTATGGAGTCACTATTTCCCCATAGGCTGGACAGAGAGTTAAGTTGAGGAACCCAAAATTTATAGACAGAGACAAGCAATCTATGATACACACCTTACGTATCATCTTATGCATTGATAATACGTTTGGTACCTCCCCTTGTGCTTTCCTCCAAAGCATTCCTATTCACCACCCATTGTTATGCTTTCACTCCTGTTGTTTTTAGACACAATATCACTATTCAAACTATTTTATCATGTGCTATGTTGAGATGTCCTTATACTGTCCTTGTGGAATATATTTATATATTTCATGTGCTTTTAGTAGTGCTAGCAGCTGTAGTGCCAAGTTCACGTCCTGGATTCTGACTAGCAAGCAAACATCTGCTTTTCATAAGGCCTGTCTGTTATTCATAGTATAACTTTTCTTTGGATTCATGAATGGTCAGGTACGACTTGCCCATCTGATTAGCTTTTATGATGAGGTAACTGGCTCTGTGGATATGGGGAAGTCAGTGGATGTGATATACCTTGACTTTAGCACGGCTTTTGATACGGTCTCCCACAATATTCTTGCCAGCAAGTTAAGGGAATGTGGATTGGATAAATGGACAGTAAGATGGAAAGAAAGCTGGCTAGAAGGCCGGGCCCTGCGGGTAGTGATCAACGGCTCGATGTCAGGAAGGATATGACAGGATGGTGGTGTTGGGAAGCAGGGGAAACGAGGGGGTAGGAGTACAACTTGATGGTGCAAAGGAAGGAAGGAATAAGGAAGGCTGAGAGGTCGCAGACCTAGCGAGACAGGGGTGTGCAGATTGAGAAGGAAGGAAACAGGGCTGACAGATCCCATGACCAGGGATAGGGTGCAGGTCGGGATAAACTAGGGGGTATTGTAGGGAGGAAAAAGGAGGAACTGATGGACCCCATGAATGGAGGGATTAGCTAAGGGTGCAGGTTTGGTTTTGGTGTTGTGGAGAAGAAGGAAACTGAGATGTCCCAAGGATAAGAATATGGCTGGGGGTGGGGGAGGGCACTGATGGGAGTGTAGGTTGTCCTGGGGGTGTTGAATGGACTAGGGAGTGGGGAGGAAAGGGGGTGTAGGTTGGCTGGGGATATTGAATGTACTGGGGGGAGGGGGTGGGGGGATGGGGGGGCAGGTTGGCTGGGGGTATTGAATGTACTGAGGGGGGGGGG